TCACGGCACGCTGCACACACCGCTCACCTCCTCCTCCCGTCTCCTGAACCCTCTGCAGCCTCTTGTTCTCATCCCTTGGAGGAGCAATTGAACACAGAGAGCTGCCACAAAGGAGGCACAAAATACAAGTGCTTACGAGTGGTCGCCCAGCAGAAACGAGCCAAGGCCGGGGCTACTAACAGGAGCGTATGCATTGCCCCAGCTCCATTCACCAGCATCACCTCACACGCATGTGCACAAGCGAGCACAGCATTTAGAGGCCCCTCCAGAGAGGCACCGCTTGCCATGACACCCACCTCGACAAAGAAAGCCATGACGGGCAGCTGATGAAACTGGTCCTCCCTCCTCAGCAGCCTTGCCAGCTGGCGGAAGATCCAGCGACGCAGGTGACTGGCAGCCCCCCTCATTGCTCTGTCAGAGGCAAGAAGGCAGTGTTGGGCCTCAGCCGAGCAGGCAAACCTCCTCTGGCATCGCTCTGCTTGGCACGCAGCTCCTGCAGCCAGCGGCATTTGCTCATGGAGCACTGCTCTTGCCCTACCACACCTTGCCATTAGAAAGTCAGCGTCAGGCATCATTACGTTCCTTTTGGTGGGAGACCGGAGAAACAGCCTTCCTGCCCAGGCGGCATGGCCTGCCCACACATCCCCTCTCCTGCCCGCTTTGGATTCCTGTGCCCCTGGGCCCTCCCCAGGTTCTCCTGCGCACGACCCTCTCCCACAGCTCCTAACACCACCTGCTCCCCCAGCAGCTCTCCAAGCTGGGCAGCATGGCAGCTCCCAGGGCCCTTCTGCTGGGCGAGCCCTTGCCACAAGGGCTGAGGCTGCAGCCCCTTTCTTGGAGAAGTGGCGTTCCCCCTCCCCCACCAAGAAGCACATGGGGAGGCACACCCCACAGCCAGGGAAGAGGTGCTGGGCCAGAGCAGGCCGGAAAGGTGGATGCATCCCATTGGGGCCCATGGATTTGTGGATGTCAAGTTTGGACAAAAGATCTCTAATGCGATCCTCCTCAACCAAGGGAGAGTCTTCCTTCCTCCAGACTTTCTCTCTTGTCCCCAGGGTCTGCAGTTCCTGAGGACTGGCCTTAGCAGTGAAGACTGAAGCAAAGGCAGCATTCAATAACTCTGCCTTCTCTGTATCCTTTGTCACCAGGGCACCCGCCCCATTCAGCAGTGGGCCTACGTTTTCCCTAGTCTTCCTTTTGCTCTTGATGTATTTGAAGAACCCCTTCTTGTTGTCCTTGACATCTCTTGCCAGATTTAATTCCAAATGGGCCTTAGCCTTCCTTGTTGCATCCCTGCACGCTCTGACAACGTCCCTGTATTCCTCCCAAGTGGCCTGTCCCCTTTTCCACGTTCTGTAGACGTTCTGTAGCAGCCTACACTTAATGGCAGTTTATTACAGTATATTTCTGTTACGCCTTTCACTAGGCTCATGCAAGAGAAATGGAGGACTATAAAGCACAGGAACCTTTTTGATATGCCTATTTTCCCCAAAACAGATTTATATATCATTATTATGTAATTTAAATTCAGTTTATATAGCATTCTTTTGAGTATTAGTAGTCTCACACAGGTCATATATGAGCTTTGGCTTCTGGTCTGCTATATGAAAATAAAAATTTTCAGAGCACTTAGTAAAGATGCTATGAGGCTGTGGTTTGTCGATAGAACTCTGAATGTATGGTCTAAGATTTGTATGCTATTGTAGGTTACATTACAGCAGCAGAAGAATCTCTTTTGAATTACTATGTATAACTGTGGAGAAAAGCTGTGTGTTAAAGTAGACAAACTGGTTTGATTTACTTTGATTTAATTCTCAGTTCTTCTTTCAAGTCTTGTAGTCACTTTTCCTCTGTTCCCCAACTTTTAAATGTGATTCTTCTGTACTGCGAAGTGTCATGCAACTGAATGAGTGCACCTTTAGTTTTCTATGTAAATTGGCTTTGGATGATACATGCAAGGGTGCTTGCTCTGGTAGTTTGATTTCTTCAGATGTGGAGCATTCTAAGATATTAAATGAGTATTTGTAAAACCTTCTTGTATGTAAGCTACCAGTATTTCATCTTTAAAAGATGATTCTCATTTGAAGATAAACTGTTCTGGGATTCCTTAAGACAGTTAGGTTTGTTTGTCTACTCCGGTATAAAAGTCTCTGTACTTGTTTCTTCCCCATCGCTGCCCCTGAATTCTAATAAGCTAGCATGAAATCTGTCAATACTGAGTTAAGTTCAAATATGTTTGTTCTTTCACTATCATAAACACTTTGTGTTCTGTAGTGTTGATCATTTCATCAGAAATGCACTTTTGTGATCTACTTGATGTAGGTCTAATTTTTATAATGGTCTGGGAAGACTTAAATCCAGAATGAGTGGCTATGAGGCCATGGCCTCAATCAAGAATTACCTTAGAGTTCCTGTAGTTCATCTTCAGGATTTACAGTCCTCCTCATTTAATTCTTCTATGTGAAATATTTGCACAGGTAGGAGGGGTATCAAGTTAAATAGTTGGCAGAGGTAGGAGGGTTTTGCACTATGAAAGGGGTATTAAAAACGCTATTTAAAACATAAGATATTTTGGTATCATTGATTTGTAAGTAATCTTAAAGTGACCTTGACACAATACAAGTATAAACATTTTTTTTGAAGCTGGTGGTATAATGGATATGGAAATAATCACAGGTGCTGTTAAATCAGAGTTGAATTCAAAAGTTTCTTACTTGTATTTTTCCTTAAATTATGTAAGATTTGAAGAAGCTTGCCTGCTCTTAAACAAAATAATTCCTGAATCTGTAAGTTAGTCATATCAGTAGTCCTGAAAGGACAAAATATGGAAGATTTTCTGCGAGTGGTGCAGCATTATGTTTGGATTGATCTAATGGCCAGTTACCATTAAAAGTTTTAGGACTTCTGTTCCCACTGTTCCCTGTACGTCCTCCTGAGTTGATTGATTTTGTGAATTTTTTTGAATCGGCTCCCTGGTTGTCCATGCTTCACTAGCAGCACAGGGGAAGTGGCAGAATCAGGATCACCCTTTTCAGTGGTAGCTAACTGATTCCACAATTTGATATGTAAGTGCCTATTTTCAAAACATACTGACTTCAGCCTCTGTCTTAGTCTGTTATTTCACTATTAATTTCACGCAACTTCTATATATTGAGGTGTTTTGATGATGTTCACCAGAAAGGAAGAAACGATATAGTTTTGTGGAGCTTTTTTATTCATAGCTTTGAAACAAAAACCTTTTGTAGAATCATTGCATCTTATGCACTGTAGAATGCAAGTTAAACTGTTCTGAAGTAAGCTTCATTTTCTTAACGTTATATTACTTTAACATTTCATTGGCTACATTTTTTTAATAAAGAAAGTTTTTTTTTTAATTCCATCATCTGTTTATAGTTCATCTTTCTGCTTAAAAAAAAAAAATTTACTTTGAGCTGTGACACTGAGCATTTTGTTTAGTGCCGGTATTGTTTCACTCAATGCTTGTTGCAGTTGGAGAAGTAACATTACAATTGTTGCTGGTATTATACAGGCAGTTAAACTGAGGAACAAAGCTGGAGTAAAGATACTGTTTTTTGGGCTGCTGTTGTGGGTAATTCAGGTTATCTGAGCAAGTTGGCTTGCTTGAGTCAATGCTGCTATCTCTGAAAGAAATGGTTACTATTTTTAATCTTTTTAGGCGTCCTGCTTTTCTTTTCTTTGATTGTATATTTTTTTCATAAGCAACTTCTTAAACTTCCATATTTAAAAAAAAAACAGGGGAGTGGGTTTCATGTCTTTCCTCTCTCATATGTAGTAATTAACAGTGAAGTGTGGGCGGAAGGGGTAGAAGGGACGTAAAGCATTTTTCTAATGAATTCTTAGATGTTACCATCTGATCTTCCTTAAAGTAAACTTGTGTTATCAATAGCAGAAATGTGTAAAGGTTAACTACACCCATTTAATATTCTATTTCTTAGCAAAACTTCTTTTAAGAAAAATCAGGATGTGTCAGTTTTGAAGAATACTAATACTTGTAACTGTATACAAGCTGGTAAAACATCATGCTTTTTAACGTAGCTGAAGCTGATCAAGAAAGCATTCGTTTCTCAACTTGCTCTCTTCCCTTCCCTCTGCCTCCTCACCTTTATGGAAGCCCCAACAGGAACAGGTATTAGTTTGAATAAACGATCTTCTTTACTCTTTTGCCTCTACTATGGATTTGACTGTTAATACCCCCACCTCCACACACACCCAGTTTTGTAATTAGCATCTTGCTACCACATGAAAGGTGTTATTTTTTAGAAAAACTTTTGAAAAAGCTTTTATGTCCTATTGACTGTTATTACAGCATATATACATACTGTCTTTTTAAAAGCAGTTTAGTAGTGGATGCATCATGCTTTGCTCCCTTTTTTAGTTAGCCAGATCATGTTTATTCCCTCTTAACTAGTATTAGATTTTTGAGATCATCTGCAAAGGATTTCTAAAACTTGGGCTTGTACATTTTACTGTTTTGCTACCTGAGGAGAGGGCCTGAAAAGGATTTGAGACTTTTTTCCTGATTGTTTTTTATCTTATAAATTTAGGATATGTTCTCTTCAGAAATTCAAGGGGACGAGCTGGTTTTTTTTTGTTTTTTGTTATTTTAAGAGGCTATGTAATGTTAATTCCTAAAACTGTGCTTAGAACACCAGTGGGGAGAGTGGAGTATTAGTACAACATCTCTTTCCAGAATTATTGGTCATTCAAATGAAGTAGGACTTGAGAAAAAACAAAGAAAGCTGAAGTTGTTTCTTTTTCTATGACTTAGCCTTTCTTGATTTTTGCATTGTTCTTGCTTAACTAGATCTTATATCATGCCTTCTTGGGACTTGAATCTCAAGTGTGAACAAGAAGGAATAAATTATGTTCACCACAGAATAAAACAGAACAAAACCCCTAATTCCAACCCTTCATGGCTCTTTTAAACATCTTAAAGAAGCAAAATAGGGCACAAGCCCAATATTTTTTTTGCTTTTCAGGTCTCCTTTAAGAGCAGAGACATCCATGATCCAGCAGTTTTGGAGGTAGAGGCAAGTAAATGTTTTACTTCTTGTAAACGTTCCAGTAAGTTTTTGCAGTCACCTACAATTTGAAGAGACCCTGATTGAAAAAGAACCTCAACCCTCCCTTCCCATACAGTGTATTTACTTTGTATGCCTGGTGTGAAAAAAGATATATTTAAGCATTTATTGCTAATTGACTGGATTCACTTCAGTTGCACATCATGCAATACCTACTTGCTGTAAAAATGTACAAGCTTAATATTAGTAAGGGGTTTTGATAGTTATTGTTAAAGCTCTCTTTGGAACTTATCTTTAACATGTAAGTTGTTTTGGGTGAATCATCTTATTGATTTCCCTCTTTCTAAAAATCAGTGGCTAGTATTTCATACCTCAAACTACTGGTGTTTCAAATCAGCTCTTCAGCATTGCCACTTTGAGAAATTCAACAACCTCTTATGTATTGGGTCTAAACTTGTAATTATTTCTTTGTTGGGGACATTTCTGAGAGCTCATGCTGAGCGTCTCCTAAAGGTACTACTTGAGTTCTTAAAAAAGCAGTTGTTCTGCTCTTTTCTGAAGACTATGTTGGAGATGCAGGAAGCAGCTATGCATCTGTGTTGTTGAAGTCTTAAAAATTAGTGAGACCCTGAGCGCTACTGCTCATCAGGAAATTTAACTCCTTGAAGTATCTCAGGCTGCAGTTCCAGGACTGTTCTTAGGATGATTCAAATCAATACTGCTGGTGTTCATTACTGCTCCTGCTGCAGCCTTGGCTAGACATGCTTTCTCCCTTCCTTATGATGGTGATTGGTGAATTGAATGACTGTGGTGAGCTGCTTCATCGCTAAACCAGCAGAAAACTAAAGCTTGAAACTTTCTCTGTTCTTGAGCACCATGAACTGGGCCACAAGCACCAGGGTAAATCAAGGTGGGACCAGCAGCACTGACTCTAGAATAGCTTAAGCCATTGTGGACCTACTGGCTCTAGACAAAGTGCAATAGTTACTCTTGAATTAGTTCAACTGGATAGCCATTCCTTATTCATGTGCTGTGGATATGATGTACTACTTACATCTTTAGATAATAAATTTTATGGGATCCCCAACTCATTTATTAGACACATAAAATGTAGAACGTAGTCTTGAAATAAGTGTTCTCTCTGCTACTGATGAACTTTTTACTGCATTTAATTTTCTTATTTAAAGATGCAGACATTTGAAAGAAACCAGAACTTTCTGACCACAAATGATATTAAATGGATGTTAATTAAGAACTAGAAGGCAAAGTGATGAAACCATAGATTTGGGTTTCAGTTCTTTGAAATATCAGAGCTGTTTTGTGGGAAGAGTTGGAATTTGTTAATGTTTTTGGCCTCTTTTTCCTATTTGGAAGTAATTAAGTTCATTTGTTAGAGATTTGGATGAATTTTTACAGCTGTTATACAGCGCAAAGAGGAAAATGTAATAGCTAACACTTAAAGCATGTATTAATTTTGTTGGCAGCATACAATTGTAACATATGGAGAATATTAATGACAAGTAGCATGCTGATGCTCTTATTTCTCATCTCATTTCTATGAATGCTTTGCAAAGAACTTTCTTCAAACCTATTCAGTTAGGAAAATGGTTGTTTTTGTGATCTGCTCCTTCCTATTTGGCAATAAAAAAGTAAAATGTAATGTTATATGGTTTCAAACAATACAGGCCTTGGTCTTAAAGGATGAACTTCTAGAGTTTTTCTCCTAAGATCAGATGTACATGTATGCAGTAGAAATGTTAGTGTATATTTGACTTTGAATGCAAATTATGAATTATTTTCACTTGTGTTATGTTTTTGCGACAAATATGGATTTTATTGCATTTTACTTTCAAGTTTAAAAAAACTAAAAAATAAAAAACAATGGCCGGAAATAATTTATCATTTATTCCTTTATCAAAATGTCATTTCAATAATACCACTTAAGGTTATTTTTACCTATTGAATATTTCTGTCAGGTTTTTATTTTAAAAGTCTTGCACAAATACTAAATAAAGGATTGATAGTACTTTATGTTTTTTTTTAAATGAACTGAAAATTATGTAGTCTTTCTCTTGTTAAGTGTAGAAAGCAAACAATAAAGTCCAAACCCAAAACTTAAGGACAGATTCACTGATGGGCCACAGCACTGAAAACAGCTAGGGAGTACTGATTGGTTATGATATTCTTGTTTCTTTGAATCATTAAAGTAGTCCTGCTGAAGGGAACTACCAATTGGCTTACTGATTTGCATTGTTTTGTTACTGGGTTTATCTCACTTGAGAGTTCATGGGAGGTTAATATCCTGAAGATTCATCATCTCCATGCTATAAGCAAAGGCTTCCCCAATATGTTGTCAGCAGTGCTGTGGGAGTGTTTTAATGAAAAAGCTAAGCTGGCGTTTAGCCGTAGTCTTTAACTGTCATGACTGTCACTACATTTTAATCTGGCTTTAAGAATGCTCGACACATGTTCGATACCCCTCATTCTGCAGTCGTCATAATCAATAGTTATTGCATGAAATTGGTTGTAAAGGAGGAGTGGAACAGCGGCCACATGTTGAGGTATCGAGGTGGTAATTTGTGCGTTGAATCCTGTATAATTTTAGCAAGAATTAAGAGGCAGCAGCTGTTTTAAGATGGTATAATTACAAACTACATGCACAAGGTTTCAGTTGTGAATACATGGGAAGTTTGTGTGTGTTTGTGTGTCGAGATCATTTGAGGCCATTCTGAATCTTTCGAAGGACTTGGTCTTAATTTTATTCATAAGAGAGTTAACATTACTGTTAATTCTGTACTCAAGGAACAGATCCGGGGATTGTTTTCTGTATTCTCTATAAAAAGTTGAATTTTTGTTTTATTTTTAAAATGGAAATTAGTTGTGATTGATTTAATTTGTATTGTATCAACGTCTTGCCTATTACTTTCCAGCTATCGTGTACTGCTGTCCAGGTTATTTGTTTACCAGTACGTTCAGTTTTTAACTGTTGCAACTCTGAAAATACTTGCATTATTTCCATATTTATAGAGGAGGGAATAAAATGATTAGGAAACAAAGATATTTAAATATATAGTTGTGTATTCACCAGAAGATTATTGTAGTTTTTAGACTAAACATGCTAGTTTAATAGTTTAGCAGCTTAGTGAAAAAATAAGAGAACAGAGATGAAATACAAGGGTAGAGTGCTACCAGAAAAAGTAATAAAATCTGACAGTCTTAGTGTTAAGCTCATTATTTAGCATTTAGAAATGCTCTCCTTTGTTCCACTCAGTACTGCACTACTTCACTGAACATGGCTCAGTGTTGAAGTAGAATAAATGTGGACAGCAACATACCACTCATCTGTCATTTACCCACTGCTTAGAAGTATTAGCATAGTATAAATTTAAAGCAGACAACACAAAGCTGACACAGCCCGTTCCTTTAAAAATGAACAAATAAACAACAACTTGAAGGCCTAGGCTGAATAAAAACAATTCTTGTGTTGAGAACGTTGCAATTAATGGAAGAACTTTTTAGCTGCAGAGCGAATTGGTTGGTTTATGGGTTAAAGCCATAGTGAAATGTAGCTTTCCTGTTGTTGCCAATTGATAAAGAACCTCTTTTACGTGTCTGGACAGTACAATATACATGTTAGCAGATGGTGAATTCTTGTGCAGGATGTAGCATTGCGTCTGTTTAACAACAGTATTCTGTGGAACTCGAGTTTGTTACGTTAGTCCATGAGTTTGGATCTTTTCAAGAATATAAACAATGGTTTGTAGAGGGAAAAAAGGATTAAAAAAAGGAGAGAGGGCAGGAGGAAGAAGGGCTTTGAAAGCATTCATCCTTTAAGCAAAGGGATGAGAACCACAGCCAGTAATCTGCTCAGCAGTACCTTGCCGCTAAGATAAAGCCCTTCTGTGGTAGACAGGGAGTTTTGTGAGGGAAGCTGACTGCAGAATTAACTCTTGAGTATTGTCTCTGGTCTCATCACTTTCTAATCAAAACACAAGGCATACTTTAAATTTTTTGTAAATCTGTAAAATTATAGAATTTACTATTCTATAAGAAATCACTTACTGTGAAGAAATGAGAGACTGTGAATAACTACAAGTGGCATGTTAATTATAGCACTCCATTACGAGAAAGTACTCGTAAGTGATTATGAAAGGGGTATTAAAAAAAATTTCATAATAGGGCAGCTATTAATGCTACTGTAATATGAATAAGGAAAGAGGGACCACAAAACCCATCTGATGTCCTCAGTGAAGTTATACATTTTTAAGAAGAATGTTCAGGTTGTAAATTTAAATTAGAAGATGCCATAATTAAGATTGCTGATGATGTCCTTTTTATATAAATGTAATTTTCTTTGGAGCTTATCACTATGCTGTGGGTGGCTAATTTCATTTTCTTTGTGGCACCCTTATTTAAGTAAATGGGAAATAGTATGTTCTTTTCCCAGATGAGGAACTGAGGTTCAACATTTGAAGTTGAAAATGTTGATTGCTTTATATGCCTAACTTGAGATGACTGGGAACTGAGCTTGCAGGATACTTTGCATTTATAAAGCAATTTATATATTACTAGAAAATTACATTTGACTTTAGTGATACTGAGAAGTGCCCAACGTGTCTACAGAGCAGGCCGTAGAGCTGTAAGTCACTCGGAGAATGGGACTCGCTCATCCCCCACACCCCCCGTTGTGGGTGGTTTGGCACTTTGTGCTGCGGGAGAGCACCTAAGCTGGCTGCTTCATCTGCTGAAGGCATGCTTGATGGCTGGCGGCTTCCTTCAGGTCATGGGGTGTTCCTGTGCCCTCCTTTGTGCTTAGTCTGCTACTCGTGGGAAGTGTCACTGAGCCAGTTCAGCTTGCTAAACAGAAACCTAATCCAGCAGCAGAAGCTGTCTGCTCAGTTGAACTGGTTCATTGAAGGGTTTAGTTAGAGCTGGAGCTGGTGCAAGCATGTGTTAGGAAGGAGAACAAAAACGGAACTGCTCCTTTTGGTTGCAGGGAGCCATTGTTT